CAGCGGGCCCCCCCCCCCCCCCCCCCCCCCCCGTTGAAACACACACGGCATGAACGCAAAAAGTTCCAACTTCGGATTTTTAAATGCAAAAAAAAAAACAATGTTTTTGGGATTTAGCACTTGTGAGTTGTGAATCTATTCTGGATTCATGCACGATAGACATCTGCTGAAGCTAGAAACAAACGCTTTTCTGACTCTTTTTTGCCCAATGAAAAGATGACGCTTCAAAAAGTAATAAGCCACTGTTGCAAGTCTGTAGAAAACACATGTATTTATCGACATCTTAAATGAGAAAAAAATTATTGCCTCTGACGTTTTCAAGGCGCGAATCCTCTTTGATAGTTCCGCAGTCTTCTTGAGGAGAAAAAGATGTCCTATACACTTGAAATTTTTTTGGTTATACAGTATCATACACAGTAAGAGCCCCTGTTGCAACGAACTTGCATGTGGCAGCCCCCCCTTTTCAGGTCAAACTCATGTCTCTCATTAAATCAGTCTATTTTTTTGCTACCAAATCAAAATTTATAAAAATTACCTCTTTCTACTTATTTAGCCCTTGACAAATATTTTCAGAAGCTACTCATTCTTCTACTTCGAAATGCATTCAAACTTTCCTTAATGTGAGCCGCAACTATCGTACTGTCAACCCGTCACATCATCAATGTTTTTGGAGCGTGACGGACTACTTCAGTGCATGGACCAGATACCCTAATAGAATAATACAGTCTGCTGTGCAGCTATTCTTGCAGTCGGGTATTCGCAGATTGCAGACACAAAATCGTTTTTGCTGCGTTGAATACCTTTTGCTGGGATGATAAACAATACAAATTGATGTTACTTACCAGACAATAGGAAGTCATCAAACTTCTGACGCATGAAACGCCGACGCTCCAAAATTAATTTACCTCTTCTTGAAATGTCACCTGGACTTGCGCCCGGAGATTCCAGCATCAGAAGTGGAAACGCTTTCAGCATATTCAAGAAACACTAAAACATGATGGGCGAAATAATAATTTTTAAGCTCACAAACACCTCAATATCCAAAACGAAATGGAACGAAGTACAGTTTAGTATTACCTTTCCAATCCCATTTTGAATAAAAGTCTTTGCTTCTTGGTTAAAATCCGGACTCGTTGCGTTGGTTTTGCAGTAATCCTCAGCTTGCAGAATGAAATCTTTGCAAAACCACCATATTTTACTTGCTGTAACCACAATCTCATCTTCCCTGCATACGATCTCATCATTCTGAGCATCTTCCTGAGATAGCTGGTCCACAGCACGTTCCAGCACACTAGAAATGACAAGGTATAAATATGAACCAAGATTCAAATGATCTCTCTCTAAACAAAATTCCGGGGACCAGAAACATTCGTTGTAGAATAAATATGGTGAGAAAAAACCTATTCGGGACCAAAAAATTCGCCAGAAAAAAACTTCGTACGCAAAATTGTTGTAAATAGAGTCTACCGCAAAATGTGAAAATTTTGCCGGAAAAAAAAAAAAACAAAACAAAAAACAAGAAGTTCGACATTTACGAAACTCAATTCTGAAAGGGAAAAACTGATGAAAATATTGGTGGCAATAAACATAGAATGCCAAGGCAAAACGAAAGCAACGCGAAGAAGCTCGTGGCATGTTTATTGAGAAAAGAAGCGTTCATTGCAGTAACTATAGTGGTTGGTACATGCAAAATATTTCTGGTTTTCAATCATAACATCCAATTGTCTCAGAATATCGGGGGTTTTCGAACTTTGAGGCCCAATCAACTCCTAAATATAAACTTACTTTGTGAGAACAGTGACGAATCCTGTGTAGGGCACAAGCAGTGATGTTGTCAAGGTAGAGCAGCATTTCATAGCCAGTCTTGAGCTCTGCGCAAACTTAGCATATATGCTGAGCATGGGAATCTCATTCTCTTGTAGGTCAGTTCCTTCCAAGTCTGCAGGTGGTGGGTCAACGTAGAATGAAGCAAGCGTAACTATTGGCACAACTCGGCTCAAATAGTGCCCTTTTTTACTCAAGCGCAAAATAATTCTCGCTGAATTTGTCAGGTCACCAACGTCCTATAAAATAAAAATGTTTTTCATAATAAATTATGAAAGCACATCTTCGGGAAACTGTCCATCATGACAATGATTCACCTTGAGGTCCTTCGTCAGGCCGCAGATGGAAGAAAGCACATCAGCGATGTGCAACTGCAACATCTTCAGTTTCTGGGTGACACATCTTCGGACGGCTTCTTTCACTGCAGGAAAAGAGCGCCATACTCAGAAAATTTCCCAAAAACGTACGCATATTATATGCAGTTCTTGAATGGAATAGGCATCAATAGGCGTCAATTCTACTGAAGACCAGGCATCACAAAACGTGCTCGCACGCAAAAACATTTTTACAGTACAACTCACTTTTTGTTTGCGCGAAATGCTCCGAAGAAAGGGAGATCATCCAACTTAGCAATGCTTCAGCAGGGGCGTTTTCTTCAATCTTGAAGACGTTTGCCTCGGTGACAGCAAATCGATGCAGCATGAACTCGATCAAATTTTCAAGCAATTCTATCAGAGGCTATAGAAAAAAATAATCCGCGAGCAGCTCAAAAATGCTGGCCAAGAAAAACAATCAAAAACGGTAATCTCACCACGAATTCCGCAGTTTCTGAATCTGACTCGATCCAATCTTCTGCAAGAATAACGTTCTTGATCGTCAAAGTATGCAAGAAGATGTCACTCTCGCGAGGAAAGTCAACACCGTGTCTTCGTAAGATCGGAAAAATTTGCTCATTGTAAAATTTGACCAGTTGCTGCCTGTCGTGAGCCTTTCCTAGTTTAGGAATAACTAGGTATTCAACTTCTTGCTCCGATTCCATTAAATGCTTCACATTCCTTTTTAGCTTGGAACAATTATCCGTCTTTGACGTCTTCTTCAAAACTGTTCCTCCCATACGAATGAAGACAGAGGCTTCAAAGAGAACCGCTATTTTATGAACCTAGGAGACAAACAGGGATGATTCAGAACCAACAAAAGAAACAGCCAAAAATGCGAAACATCATAGATATAAAACTTGGAAGAAAGACTCAACAGCTGATGTGATGTACCTTTCTTTCAATAACCAAAGTTTTAACTGTACCCAAACATTGACAAATCTAAAATTACACAAGATTTAATTTAGTTGCTGGAGAAAGTTTTTTTCTTGCAAGAGGAGTATTTCCGCGTCCAATTTTGTATTTCCCCAAATGATAACGCGGATATTTTACTGCATATGTTTCCTCTACAGAAATTATTTCTGCAGAGGAAACATATCAACTTGTTCATTTCCCTTTTTCAAGCAAAGGACAGAATTAACGAAGAGGGATTAAAGAATAGAGATCGAAATGAAGTCCAACACTCACCAAATCCTTCTTCAAGGTCACTGTGTTAACAGCCAGTGCAAATTTTTCAAACATAGCACCGTAATCCGCCACGTATTTCCTCCGATGCAAAGTCATCAATTGTAGAATCATTATTGACACTGATGGCAAATCCTCCTCGGATATCTGTCATTCCGACGTGAGTTATGGCAAAACAAGCGACAATTGATACTTGAACACTTACCTCACAAAAACGTAGGATTTTTAGAAAATTCTCTGGAAAGTCAACCTCAGAACACGAATCAAGTTTTGTCAGCTTCAATACAAGAAGTCCAACAGCTCGGTCTCTCTCGGCATCAGCAGTGCTCGCGTTCTTAAGCAATGCCCTCAACACAGTTCCCAGCTCTTTGTCGCTCGCAGATCTAAGATTTCGAATCATAATTATTCTGTATTTCATGCAATATCAAACATAAATTTACCGTGCATTCACTCTAGGATCAAACGCTCACCATGAGTAAGACATGAAACCCAATTATTTTTACCCTAAAATGTTAATGAAATGATATCCTCACGTGCACTACGTTTTTAGTGTCTGAAAAACGGAATTATTTCAAAAGTAAGGAGCACCAAAATGAGAGATTAGAACATAAATTCAACCTGAATTCAATTAGATTTCAATTTTTTGATTAAAAAAATGTCTGTCAACATTCCCCATCATATTGAAGCAGTGTGACGCGCGCCTAACCTTGCAACTTCTTTTTTATTCCAGCATACCAGAGGCACATCCTTTTTTCCTCTCAATTCAGAGAAAAGGTGCATGTGGTACTCCAGTGAATACGGTATATTCCAGCAATAATTAGGAAAAACTCACTCGTAAAATACATGCGCAATCAGAGAAATCTCGAGAAAATGTTGCTTCAGTTCCGTTGTCATGAAATGCGGGAAGTATTGCTTGAAGATATGGACTGCAGTTGGGTTCAACAAAATGCTTGAGTTTTGCTGCATGATGACTTTGAGGATCTGAAAAGAACAGAAATCATAATGATCAACCATACATAATATTGCACACGCAACAGGATGAAACATTTTAAACAGTAAATTAAACTTAAACACGTGGCACAGCACCGAAATAGCAAGCCTTCCATTCTTGACCGATTTTCCGGCAAAAAGTCCGTTGAGGAGATACGCCAACAAGTTTGGAGTCGCATGCTTGATATTGAACTTCAAGCAAGAATCAACTGTTTCCAAGGCTTGTGATCGCAAAGTGCACACGGAATCTCTGTAAGAAGGACATTCTTATACAGGCAATGACAAAGTTGTGTGTGTATAGTTCAACGAACATCAAGCGTTTTGCAAGAATCGATTTCATGAAATACTTGATCGCCCTGTTGAGATGCTCCACAACAATTTTGTCACTTAGTTCGTCGGGCAGAGTCGAAGACACGGCTTCATCATTGCGCATTTTGCGGGAGTACTTTTTATTGGAAAGGTGATGCTCCAACGCAGCCATGGCAAGAATGATTGATGACGCTGAAATCGAATGAAAAAAGCCGTACAGTAGAAAATAATATGAAGAATACAATTTGTTTTCAGCAGTAATAATTTACACAATTGGAAATTGATGCCGCCGGCATATGTAACAGCAAAAAAAAATCTGATTTTCTTGAACTTGCAGTACAGTACCACGAATCTGTGATTTTACTTTCAAATAGGGAGGCAACTGCACAATTTCATGAAGTTTCGTTTGTCTAGATATATGACGAGCCAAGTTTGGTTGAGGTGATTATTTTTAGCCAGGTTTGAGATTGTGGTGAAATCCAGGATAATTTTAGATGAATCGCCTCAGTATTGACAGAGGTATTCCAGGAAGGCATCACATTCTTGTAACAGAAAATTTAGAGCACAAAAATCTGAATTTCATAAAATCCATGGTTTTGCTGTTTTGTATTTCACCGATGATCAACGACAAGCTGCGAACGGCAACAATGGTTGAAGACCCCATCTTCATCAGAAGGAGTCCAAGTGCGGTAAAAATGGCACCCTCCTGAGCACCAGCTCCGATTTGCAACAGTGTTTTTGAGTGACTCTTCACAAGTTCCGAGAAAAATAGTGCAATTGGGTTCAAAGATCTCGTTGCATCTACTCTCGCATCACCAACAAATATTGCACAAGCGTAAGAATATCCATGAAGACGTTCTTCAATTATTTTGAAGCACATTTCGGCCATAGGCTGGACGTCTTGCTTCCAGAGCAAAGGCTCGCAAAGATCCTTGTCAAGAACGCCGCAGAGAGACGCAATGAGAGCGAATAAATCCATGGTGCCAGCTACCTCACTCACTAGGGCGCGATCAGCCCAATCGGCGGTAATTCCCTATAAGGAACGTAACAGAGGCTGACCCACGACTATTCAAATAGAATACACGCAGAGGAGAGAACATTTTGACAGATTCTTTTTAATCGAATGATTTTCTCATATTTTCTGTAACTATATACGACTGTAACAATCGACAAGTTTGAAAAACGGATCAAGTACTAGGATCACAAACCTGTATGACCCGCTTGTTTGATCCAGCATTGAGGACTGTTTCCGCAATCCCGCCACGAGTTAGATGGAACTTTTGCGCCAAAGGATCCACATCGAAGGACAAATTAGTGCTCGACACTGCATCTCCAGCAGAAATATTCGAAAGAACCGATGGGCTGGAGCGAATACTTGCATTGTGACCAACAGAGTCCAACGAGCATGCAGCAATTGCCCTTGCATTTGGACTATATGAAGAAGTTACACAGCTGCTGACCTCCGTGTCACTGATGGACATGATCGCAACAACCCGAACTATTCGACTGGCAGATAATTCACTCGGTTTTCACACTGATGAACTACTTGAAGGAAAAAAGTAATAGGATCAATGCATTTTACAGTACAATGAACAAGCAAACCAAGCACGAGCACACCTAATACAAGAATCATTCTATCCCCCTTGTTTTTATCAAAGGATCTACACAAAATTTGCAATGATTCCACGCAATTCATCGTACAAATGGGGGTAATACTTGCTATCTCAAATCGTGACTCCGGATGAGTGTTCGCGCATGGCTGGAACTCGAACGCCATTACGATTGGGTTGTTTCGATCAAAACAAGAGTACACATCATGCATCGACAAATACTCCACTGTACACGCACAGTTTAATCCATCATTCTTTCCACAGCAAACCCTTCGAAAACGGACACCAGCACTCGAGGCATGAACGCGGATGTTGGAAATCTACGGCGCATTGTAGTGATTCACCGTTTGCGCGCCAAAATTGGGCATCATGGGCGCACGAAGTCAGCAATGTACACTGGATGTATTCCTCGCGGCATCATTACTGCAGAGAGAAAAATAAAATGAAGAATAATGAATTGATCATTTAATTTTAGAAAAAAAAGAAAGAAGCCGAATTAACAAACCTTACCCTTTGCCGTTGGTGTAACCATTCCCGTTTCCATTGGTGTATCCATTTCCGTTGGTGTATCCATTGCCATTGCAATTGGATCATCTAATATATTTTTTCATAAAGCTAAGTTTAGCACACTAGCATAAATAAAAGGCTAAATCTGCCAAAACAGCACTGGAACTCGTTCGCCGACTCTTAAATTACGGGAAGTTTTATTGGCAGTGCGAAATAAAATAGAAAATTCAGCGTACCCATTGCCGTTGGTGTACCCATTGCCATTGCCATTGGAGAAACCGTTTCCGTTGCCGTTAGCAAGTCTGACCAACATAAGACCATTACATTTCAGAGTTTTGTGATTCTAAATTGAATCTTACCAATTGCCGTTGCCGTTGGTAAAACCGTTTATATTTCCATTCAAACCCCTGAATAAAAAAGAAATCAAGCGACGAGAAAGGACTTGAGAAGAGTATGGGAATCCGAACTCAAAAAATCGTTGATGTTAAGTAGCAGTCTTATTCATCTCATGGCTTTATTCCACCGTAATCGTTTGAGCAAATATTTACAGGTAGCATCCCGATTTTAGGCAACCGTTTCAGGAATCAAGAAAAGTGTAGGCCATGTACAAAATAATGTACGTAAAACTTCTGTCAGAGAGAAAAAATGCGTCCTAAGCATTAAAATTAGGTAATACTCAGTCTGTAAAACGCTGCACGAATCGGTCATGTCTCTCAATATTATGATCCTGCTTTGAACTATAGCGAGCAGCACGTTGCATGGAACGATGCCTGATATCTCACGTCATTTGAACCTCGAAGAAAATTTTCTTTCGATATTTCGTATGAAATTTGGCACATATCCGAAAAATTACGTCAAAGTTTTCGTCAGTGTGGCCAACATGTGCAAGAATACCGAATATCAAGTGTCTATTTCGTACCAGTCGTTTTATGAACTTCGTTTCCCACTGGAGAAGTGTGGCCAATATAGTCGAGTAAGAAATGAATACTACGCCTCAATTAAGCAAGAAATAAGCAGCACACTATCCAAAAGTCTGCCACAATATTTCAAATGCCATGGAGAAAAGTCATTGCCCGAAGAATGCGTAAAAAGATTTCAGAGATGAAGGATCACACGCATGTGTGCCAGAAATATTTACCCGTTGCCATTGAGTCCATTTCCGTTTTGCTTCCGTAGTCCATAGGAAGCACTAGGCTGCGCGTTGCTGTAGCCAGCACCAATTCCATTTCCATTACCGTTACCATTGCTGTTCAGGCTTACGGGCTTGACAACCAAATCTCCTTCCAATTGACGTCCGCTACGGAAACTAACTACCCGTCTTTGAGAGAACCTATTATTCGTATTTGACGGGCGCTTGTCGCTGCGAACCTGGAAATGCATAACCGTATACAAACTCGAAATCTTCACCAAAACACACGAACCACCCTCGAAGTGCGGTATCTTAGATATTGATCTTCTACGTCTACGAGAAGGGAAGATCCCTTATACCAAGAGAGAAGACTGAGTAACAACATACCGGAGGGAAGGCCGATACCGTACTGTGCAATGCTGCCGTAGTATAGTACAGTAAATGAAATGCTTTACCATTAGAGACACCAAATCAAATTTTACAACATTTTACCGTTTTTCTCCCGAACTGCAGACAAATCGAAGGCCAAAAAGCTGGACTTGGGAATAATCTTTTAAAATGTTCTACCGTGGTTTCTCCTGATTTTCAACAGTAGCTTTATGCACAAATCTTGAAGATATCCGAATTGTTTTATACATTCGAATTTACTTTGTACAAAATGAAAAACGTTCATGTTAAAATCCAATCTTTACCTTGATTACTGTGTGTACCGTAACAGCTACACTATGCGATACAATGATTTGATTCATTTTTAACAACTGAATCACAACGTTATGCGACATGTACTGCATTCAATAGGTCAATAAAAATTAACTTAGCAAAGTCACACAGCTATTCATGCGTCCAGCAAATGAATCAGGGTTGCAAAACATAAATTTTTCGCAAAATGTATCAAGACGAAAATCTCGGGTGACCATGTGCTTCATGTTTCTATCCTGAACAAAATCTTGTACAGAAAATTCTCATAGACTGATGAAATCAGTTTAGCTAGAGTGGGCACTTGATATAGATCAGTACCGTAGCATATTTACTCAAGTACAGTACTATATATACACACCCTAGATTTTTTACTATAATTTTGGGAAAATGATATCCTGGCAGAAGATGCACTCCCAAGTTTTCAGTTACTAAAATTCAAATTTGAAACACTGCGCTGCGTAAAAATCCCAAATTTGAGTTCACTAGAAAATCTTGTACCATGCAGAAAATGTCCTTTTCAACAATTAATATTTGTATCATTGAAATAGAGAACTCAGAAAAAAAAGCCAAAGTGTGGAGATCAACAGAAAGTTTGCATCAGACTACAGTAAGATGTTCGCACCTCACTTACCCAAATACGGCAGTACTGTACAGTCTAAGCATGCTGTGAATACCAAGTATTCTCTTCAATTATTCACGTCTTCGGAATCCTGTTTTTTTTTTACTGTTGTACTCTCGTATTAAAAACGTAGCTTTCCTGTAATATTTCGGAGAGTGAAAATTCTGCGAGAACTTGAAAATGAAGGGTAAAATAAGGTACTGAGTACTGACGAAAAAAATCCACAAAAAATTCATCGGAAGTGTTTCACGCTGTATTTTCATAAAATATTGTCCATGTTGCACATGTTGCAAATACATACGAAAAAACATTTCCAAAATGCGTCATATAAAACCTTGCAAATTTTGTAGACAAAACATGCCAGTTCTTGGAATTGTCTTAAAATACTGCCCAAACTTATTTTTCCAGTAACCAAACGGACAAACATAAAACACGCCGACACCATGCCCACAAAAAAACACTGCACAAACATGGAACACCGACATATGAGCAAACCAAAGTCCAAATAAATACCCGATCAACCCGAAGTATTAGACTCAGACAACTTTGTATTACGTCACACGAGACAAAAGCTGACCATTTTTCTTTTCGGATGCGTATATATACATATATAGAGACTATTTCCAAAGGACGGAAGCACATCAACATTCATTTGGCTTTCTGGATGGTAACATATAAAGTTGAAAGACTTCGAGGGTATAAGAGAAGCAGAGAAAGTAAATTACAATATTTACAAAATATGGATCGGTTTTGATTCAGTTCGGGCATATAGGTGTATATGGCAACCTTGCTGGGTGGTAACAGACACAGGAAAGGATTACATCAACACAGGGAGCAACTGGCAGAGGCTTGATTGCAGCAAGCCTCATTTAAGCTATCGATACTTTCTTTTAGTTTACTGGCAGAGCGTGCTTCTTCCGTGATTTTGTCCACATTGCAAAACAAAAAAGGAATACTTTTCTCGTTCTAAACTTCCTCGTGCTCCAAATGTGCATCCCGGCGGCAGATTTCATTTTCAACCGAACCTCCTCTGGTTGTTGCGGTTGTTCTGGTTACGGTTGTTGTTGTTGTTCCTGTTATTGAGGCGGCTGTTGCTGTTGGACACGAGGCGGCGACCCGCGCGAGCAACCTTTCGCACGGCGGACACGCGGCGGTTCCCAGAGCTGCGGCCTCGCTGTTGGTTGCCGAAGGATCGTTGACGACTGGCCCGAGCAGCTTCTGCGGCGGCGCCTGTGGTCGCCACTGCTGCAACCGGCTGCTGTTGCTGCTGCAAGTCGCTGGCGTAGAAGTACGTCTTGCCGTTTCCGTTTCCGTTCCCGTTGGTCGACAAGCCATTTGAGTAGCCGTTGGAGTATCCATTCCCGTTGCCGTTGGAGTATCCGTTGCCGTTAGTCAACCTGGAAATAGGAAAAGAGAAAAAACATTCGAAATCACAATGTCCATACAGTCAAACCTCTTCAAATCAATTTTCAAGGGACCAGCAAAAAAAGAAAATTGAATTAGAGAAATGAGCTTTTCTGTTGGGGAAAGGAAGAAGAATTTGAAGAAAATTGTAATTTATGATATTATAGCCTTCAATTCCTTCTCAAGTGAATGGACAGGATGCTTTCTGAACTTGAAGGCAAGGGTTTATTGACCCAATTAGTCTTTCCTTTCAAAACACAATAATTTTCATTTTTATTGCTGTTCTTTTTCCCGTGTTAATAAAATACTGTAATAGCCAAAATTCCTCCAGAATCAAGTTATGGAGGTTTGAGAGAAGAAAAACGTTTGACTTAGAAAGGTTTTTAATGCATTTTCCCAAAGGAAATTCAGAGAGGGACCGGAAAAAAATTCGACACATTTGACTGGAGGAGGATTGAGTCGTCAAGGTTCATATGCATTATTAAGGATCAGGACACGCTTTGACGTCATCACAGAAGGATGAAAACCAGTTGGAATGAAAAAGACTCCACTTTTAAATCCTGACCTTTCCAAACTCTCAGTATCAGAGCCTATCTAACTCTAGACATAAACTTCTCGCCCATATAGTGAGAGTTGATCATGTAGACAGAAAATTAAAGTAGTAATTCGTGGTTCGCAATTTAGGCATCATACGCACATATCTGTACGTTTAGACTTGGTGAAAATACTGCGCCATACACAGCTAATAAAAGTTAAACAAGATTTAAGGCATACGATTAACATCTTGGTTACGGAAATCGTAACTGCTCAGGTCTTATCCACCGACCAAAATACCCGGACAAGTTTTGGAGGAACGATGACAACTTTCCGTACCGACGTAGAATTGTAGGGGAAAAAACAGATTTTCAGATGCTACACAGCTATCAAACTCATAAAATAGCTGTATACGAAGTTCATTTTACCGATTGATCAATCGAATTGGCTGAAACGTTCTTACCCATTGCCGTTTCCGTTTCCATTGCCATTTCCGTTGCCGTTTCCGTTGCCATTACCATTGCTGATGACGTCATTGCCGTCTCCAATGACAAGATCAACTCCTTCATCGATGAGCCCAAGCTCGGGGGCGAGAGTGGTACCCAATTCATCAATGATCTCTTCGGTGACGAGCAAATCATCAACAGCACCTTCATCAACAAAGACCAACGGAGCAACAGTCGTGGCTTGTGCACCTGAGCCGCCTTGAGGTCCCTATATGCCGAAAAAATAAATCCCAACATTGTTTAAATAGCGTTTCAAAGTAATGGGTAAAATTCGTTTGTTATGATAAATGCCACAATGAATTCACTGGTGTACCTCGTAGATGAATTCGTTGAGAGAATACAGGTTCGTGCTGGAATCGCAGTCAACATTGTACCACCAGTCGCAGACGAAGTATTGCTGGTTGAAGATGGTACCGTTCGGGCACAGGAAGGAGTCAGCTCGGCCATCAGCTTGGCAAATCCAGAAAACCTAAAGAACACGTCCATCTGTTTAATGTTTCTGTTGCATTTCACAGAGGGCTTGCTCGTAATTAAGTTCCACAGCTCTTCCAGTTAGTTCATCGCTGAGGAGTCTCATATTCCACGAGTATCATATTTTTTGGCGAAAATTCCGAAATTTATATTTTGAAGTACAGTATTACACATGAACAGTTCAACCACAAATAACTGGAACCCCACAAAGTCAAATTCATTCCTATGTCGAATTTTTTCAAGTTCTGGTCTGAATTCCCTTAGAAACATCCCTAACTCAAAAGGCTTTCCCCTCAAAACTCTTGAACTCGAATATTCTGAAGGCTTTTTGGCTATTATATCATTGACACAGGAAAGTGAAAAGCAATAAAAATGTAACTTGAGGTGTTTTGAGAGAAAGTGAAGGGATGATTGAGCAAAATAAACCCTTGCCTTCAAGTTCAGCATCCTGTCAACTCATTTATTCTTGTTTACAGCCTCTGCAGAATACAGTATCATCAACTGCATCAGTACAGTACTGTATATTGAAATTTCTCTTTTTTTCCCAAACAAATATGTATGTTTCCCTGACTCGAATTTTTTGCTGGTCTTTTGAAGTTCGACTGAAGTAAGTCAATTATATTTGAACCATTGCAGGAATTTGTCTTCAACCTTCTTGGGCAAACGGGAATATACGAAGGAAATTTCTCATCTATGAGAGTTGATTAAAGTTTGTGCGAACAATTGAATCCAACCTCTTATGAGCTTGCGTAATACGAGCTCGTACATAGAATCGTTCGAAATTGTTGGCACAGCACAAAATACGAGTATAATTGCTGGTACTGTATCACACGGGTATAAGGCGAAGAGATCACAAGCCAATAATGGTTATAATTGGAGGGAACGTATACAAACTTGGCATTGAGCTCCAGGGTCAGCATAAAGACCGGGGAAAGCTTGGCTTTTGCAGTCGAATCCGGTGTCAGGAACGGAGGCGAAAACTGGATAATCAACTCCCGCAGTTCCTCGGATCGGGCTCATGTCTTGCTGAGAACCAGCCGCACTGGAACCATCATCGATGATGACTTCTTCCTCAATCACTGCTCCGTTCCCGTTTCCGTTGCCATTGCCATTACCTTTGTTAAAATAATGGGCCGAAGTGAATACAATTTTCTTAACGAAGTATTTGCCAGATTTCAAGTGGCTGTACCGTTAATTACGATTCCGTTGCCATTCCCGTTGCCGTTGGTGAATCCATTACTGCAGAGAGAAAAATAAAACAAAGAATAATGAATTGATCATTTAATTTTAGAAAAAAAAGGAAGAAGCCAAATTAACAAAACTTACCCGTTGCCGTTGGTGTAACCGTTCCCGTTTCCATTGGTGTATCCATTTCCGTTGCCATTTCCGTTGGTGTATCCATTACCATTGCCATTGCCATTGGATAATCTAATATATTTTTTCATAAAGCTAAGTTTAGCACACTAACATAAATAAAAGGCTAAATCCGCCAAAACAGCACTGAAAATCATTCGCCGACTCTTAAATTACGGGAAGTTTTATTGGCAGTGCGAAATAATATAGAAAATTCAGCGTACCCGTTGCCGTTGGTGTACCCATTGCCATTGCCATTGGAGAAACCGTTTCCGTTGCCGTTAGCAAGTCTGACCAACATAAGACCATTACATTTTAGAGTTTTGTGATGCTAAATTGAATCTTACCCATTGCCGTTGCCGTTGGTAAAACCGTTTCCATTTCCATTCAAACCCCTGAATAAAAGAGAAATCAAGGGACAAGAAGGGACTTGAGAAGAGTACGGGAATCCGAACTGAAAAAATCTTTGATGTTAAGTACCAGTCTTATTTATCTCATGGCTTTATTCTACCGTAATCATTTGAGCAGATATTTGCAGGTAGCATCCGGATTTTGGACAACCGTTTCAGGAATCAAGAAAAGTGTAGGCCATGCAGAAAATAATGTACCTGAAATTTCTTTCAGAGATAAAAAAAAAATGCGTCCTACACATTAAAATTAGGTGATTATCAGTCTGTAAAACGTTGCACGAATCGATTACGTCTCTCAAAATTACGATCCTGCTTTGAACTATAACGAGCAGCATGTTACATGGAACAATGCCTGCTTTCACGTCATTTGAACCTCGAAGAAAATTTTCTTTCAATATTTCGTATGAAATTTGGCACATATCCGAAAAATTACGTCAAAGTTTTCGTCAGTGCGGCCAACATGTTCAAGAATACCAAATATCAAGTGTCTATTTCGTACCAATTGTTTTATGAACGTCGTTTTCCACAGAAAAAAGTGTGGCCGGTATAGTTGAGTAAAATGTGAATACTAAGCCTCATTTAAGCAAGAAATAATCAGTACAGTATCCAAAAGTCTACCACAATATTTCAAACGCCATGGAGAAAAGTCATTACCAGTAGAGTGTGAAAAAAATATTTCAGAGATGAAGGATCACACGCATGTGTGCCAGAAATATTTACCCGTTGCCGTTGAGGCCATTTCCGTTTTGCTTCGGTGGTCCATAGGAAGCACTAGGCTGCGCGTTGCTGTAGCCATTGGTGCTGTAGCCAGCACCGATGCCATTTCCATTACCGTTACCATTGCCGTTCAGGCTTACGGGCTCAACAACCAAATCTCCTTCCAATTGACGTCCGCTACGGAAACTCACTACCCGTCTTTGAGAGAACCTATTATTCCTATTCGACGGGCGCTTGTCCCTGCGAACCTGGAAATGCATAACCATATACAAACTTGAAATCTTCACAAAAACACACGAACCACCCTCGAAGTACTGTAACTTAGAAATTGATCTACGAGAGGGAAGATCCCTGATACCAAGAGAGACGACTGAGTAACAACTGCAGCATGCGTATAGCATACCAGAGGGAAGGCCGCTACCGTACTGTGCAATGCTGCCGTATAGTATAGTACAGTAAATGAAATGCTTTACCATTAGAGACACCAAATCAAATTTTAGAACATTTTACCGTTTTTCTACGGAACTGCAGACAAATAGTAGGCCAAAAAACTAAACTTGGGAATACTCTTTTATAATGTTCTACTGTGCTTTCTCCTGATCCTAGATCTCAAAAGTAGCGTTATGCACAAATCTTGAAGATATCCACATTGTTTTATACATTCGAATTTACTTTGAACAAAATAAAAAACGTTCATCCCCACAACTTTCATACCATTAGAGAGTACCAATACATGGTTTACCATTACAGAGACCAAATCAAATTTTAGAGCATTTTAACGTTTTTCTCCCGAACTGCAGACAAATAGTAGGCCAAAAAATTAAACTTGGGAATACTCTTTTATAATGTTCTACTGTGCTTTCTCCTGATCCTCGATCTCAACAGTAGCGCTTTGCACAAATCTTGAAGATATCCAAATTGTTTTATACATCCGAATTTACTTTGAACAAAATAAAAAACGTTCATTTCCACGACTTTCATACTCGAATGAAATTCTTTCAACACGTTCAAGTTACTTACCCTAACTGTCCTCACAGCAACTTCACCAAACGCAGCATCAATGCCTGTTGATCAAGGGCAATGTAGTATTGTTCATGTTGGACTTCAAAATTCAAGCTCTCAACACTCACCGATGAGGCAAATCAATAAAACTGCTACTGCGAATGTCTTCATGTTTTTCTTGTTCTGGGCTTTTTGCCAATAAATTACAATTGAACTAAGATAAACTACGACACCAAGAATAGTAGCGGTTCAAGTATAAACACAAGCTTTAGTTCAGGGTTTGGTAACTTTTTACACAATAAATAAGGCTTCTGCCGGCTTGAAGAGAAGAAAACATTAGGATGATTATTTCACTTTTCTGAAAGCCTTGCTGTGCATGACGTCAACGGCATAGGAAAAAGCACTTTGCAGAAGCAACAACAAAAATCGTTCTTATATGTATACCAGTATTAGTGTTCAAGTTCTATTATACACTGCAGCGAAAATGCACAACAGGCCATGAGATGCCACGACCTGGAATGACTCAGAACACCCGAGTGTCTTCCTTCTTGCTATTGGAACTCTTAGAATTGAACCACCTGATAGGAGGAGAGGCTGGTGGGCAACTGTGCCAGGTTCCTCCCAGGCCCCCAGCTTAAATACTGGCCAGAGTCTCGATGCAACCCGCGGTTTGAAACCCCAGCAGCGCCAAACCCAAGGTCGCCAGCCATCATCAACATGGAAAAGAGAGACCAGCAGAGAGGATGAGATGGCATGGCGGGGAGAGAAAAAAAATTAGAAAGAACAGTGTACAGTATATACATACATGGTGTCTGTCGGGCGACGTTGCGTAGGTGGGACGAGGAAAAATTCACCCAATCTTCCTCCAACCCCCCACCCCCACGAATCCTTCTGCAGCATATCCAACGATATTTTCTTTTCCTTGTCCAGGAGTCTGGAATAAAATCGAAATTTAACATCCCTTTTCAATACCCCCTTAAGAAATAAAGGTGATGGACTCTCTCTCTCTCTCTGCAACAATCCTTTCGTCTATAACGATTTTTTCTATATGCCACGATTTTTTTTTTTGGTGGTCCCACAGCATGAACTCCCCATTTTATACGGGTTCTCAACAACGAAATTCTTTCTACAACGAATTTTTTTTCTGGTACCTCAAGGTTCATTATAAAGAGAGAGAGAGAGAGTCCACCCATAGGTGCAATCTCTCCACAACGATCTTGTCTACAACGCAATATGATTTCTCATCAAAGATTCTCTCTAAATTGTTCATTGAACTAAAACTCATACAGAAACAGGCTGAAGACCTTGTGCTTTAAATAAACTTTTACTGCTGCTTTGTCTTCAATATTGGGGATGGNTTTACTGCTGCTTTGTCTTCAATATTGGGGATGGGTGGGTGCATGCAACATACGTGTAGGATGTCCAGTTTTATTTTGTGGAGTGTGTTCTCTTTTATTTTTGTCATTCATTTGTGCTTTGTTTCATGCTTTGAAATGATTTAATGTATTTGGGGGAGTTGGGTTTGGTGGGGAGGGGGTTTGGATGCGGGAGTTCTGGTTATTCCTTGTGAACGCTGAAAAGCGGCAAATAAAGTTTTCTGTTCATTCATTCATTCATACAACGCAATTCTCTTTATAACGAATTTTTTGTGGTCACATGAAGTTCTCTCCTCATACTTTATAAGTTTCTAGGGATTCTCTACAACAAAATGCTGTCAAAAACGATTTTTTCTTTGGTCTGTTGAGTTTTGTTTTACAGTATATAAAGAGAGTCCATCTACATTCTCTTGAAAACACGCACACACACATGCACAAACACAAAAACCTTGTCACAACAACCACAGAGACTTGGAGTAGAATTTTATTGCACTGAAACTCATCCTTTTAAACTGCACACTTATGACTGAAATTTTGTGGTGAATGGGTAGTATAAAGGCTGTGGATTGCAAGTGTTCCATTTCAGTCTTGTCATTAAATCTTTACGGTGAAATTAAAAAGAAAAACTTGGAATGCAGTAAAATATTGTTGCAGCAAAAGACCATCACAACAAATGTTTCAGTACAGTATAAAAAACTTTTTTTCAAGTCCTGGCAGAAAGCCCATAGAGTACATGTTGAATCAATCTTGCTATAGAAAACTTTTCAATATCAATATGGAATAGTACATCAAAATTTCTTAGGAATGTGCATAATAAATTCTCCTGCAAAAAAAAATCCCAAGGCAGGCGCAGTCTCACATTTCCTTCGCAAATTAATGGCTGATTGGTTCTTGTAGCATGTGTTGGTGAGGAATGAGAAGAGGAGCCTTGTACATCAACTGATGACGCATAAGACAATTACAGTACTTCAATTCTTAATATTTCAGCCAAACAGAGGCCAAGAAATATATTAGAATATTATGGAATTTTTTGGTCAGAGCACGTGACCCGAAAATTCCAAGAAAATAATAAAAGCTCATTCTTATTTCAAATTTATAAGCAGTCAGTCCTGAACTCTTAAAGGACAACCTTCTCATTTCTTTTTACTACTGATTTGTGCACAAATCTGTGATGTGACTTTGAATGATCAATTCTGGTGCTTGTATTTATTGTGTGTGTTAATTGAATCACTTGGATTCATTGAATTCTTTATTTTCTTTGCTGAAAATATTGAATAAAAGATTATTGAAAAACTAGGAACAAATATTCAAGGTGACACATTGAATATGTGTTCTCGGCCTCAAAAGGCTGATTGCCTGTGTTTTTATTTCCTTTCGTGAGAAATGGAGCTCCCAGCATGAATGAAAGTTGTAAAACAAGGACAAACATGTACAAGTTGTTCCACACATTAACTTCTCAGGATGATCGCATTTTTCAGGGAGGGGTTAAAAAAATAATGCTTCCGTGATAGACATTAAAAATAAAGTATATTGCATAGTTTTCTGCTTTATTTTATGTACTTTTTTGGCTCAATCTCTTCTGTGAAACCACTCGCTCAACGAAATGGCTGCTAAATGGGGCATTAAAAAGTACTGTATTTCCTCATAAAATATCGGCAAAATGCTTTCATGACAACTGGAGAAGTTCTAAATATTGTACTAAATAAACTATGAAAACGAGCGGATTCTTCCTCAGGTTTTTTTTTTTAACCTTACCTTACATTCGTGAAATTTCTGCACACGACCTTGAAAATGTTGCCCCGATAAGCCTGTAAACTCTGCTGTTTAACTCGTTAATTTTTGAATCTTCTCAACCGCGACTTGTTCGGATGTGAACAATTAAAAAATTAAAGTATTTTACATGTTTTCTACGCTTTTGGCGAAGTTGTGAAACATTGGAACGACCAGTTTTATCGTTCAGTCATTTCACTAATCCCCACTCCACAAATTCAATTACTTAATCCTTTATTACAAAACATATTCCAGAAAATTGTTAGCGTCTTCAAATATTCCACTTAATGCGCAATTAAATGTCTAATTTTGAGCGATCATTTTCAAAATCCATATTTGTCGAATAATGAATTCTTCACCCTGAAAAAATTGGAAATGTCCCAAAACGAAAAATTCTCCGATGTTTTTACAACTAAAACTCTAAGGACAGTATTATTGACCTTAACAAGTTCGGAGAGAACAAATTAAAACGAACTTTACTTCAAATTCAGCCGAAGAACGTATTTAGAAGTGTCATTAAAACTCAGCAGAAGTTGAATTGCTCGATTGCAAAATCCGTGACTGAAAATTGCAAAGCCCCACAATTCACTTCTGATTGGCCGAAACATTTTCCGACTTGAATAATAAAACTTGAGAGAGTTCCAAGGATTTAAAATTATTACTATACTCGTCTCAGACCCTCGGTAGTTTTAAGGTTGCTTCGTTGCCATCAATTATAATGACGAACATGAAAGAAGTTATTGAGAGAATTTTCCAGGGATGAAGAATTCGTTATTCGAAAAATATGGATTTAAAAAATAATCCCGAAAACTTTCTTTCAAAAACAATGTCCAGGGTCAGAGTTGAACATACCTATAAAGAACAAGAAGGAGCCTGTAAAAAAATATCGGAGGATTTTCGCACTCGTCAGCAAACCCCACAAAAAACGATTTTCGCTTTCCGAAATTCATGTATTCATTCTTTCATTCATTCTGGTCAGCATTAGCATAAAAAAACCCCGTAAGCCAGGTTGAGTTCGGAGTTCGTGCAGCGTCTTCATCATCTGTGTGGTCTCGAGACATGTACAGGGTGAACCACGAAAAAAAAAACTAGACCAATTTTAAATAATTACTATACACACTGGTAGTCGGGAATATGCTAAACCACGACCATGGAGGATATAAAAGAAGATGGGGTGCGTGTCACACTGGATTATACCTTTTTTTTTCTTTTTTATTAAATTTACAAGTTTTTGGAATTTTACCAGTTTGGCAATCAGCCATTTTCAGACAAGAATATGCATTGCATCTTAAATATTAAAATATCTGTGCCTAGTTCAGAAGATTTATTCCCTTGTTGGTTTCTTGTACAAAATAAGAACACGCCACAATGAATGAAAAATTCCTCGTATAGAATTTCTGCTTACAAATTCAAGATTAAAACAATTTAATAATGATTGATTACAGATGATTGAAGTATATGAGCTTTATAGATTTATATGCTCTCCAAAAACATTCACAAAATTTCCCTGCTCTAATTAAATTCCCCAACAGACAAACAGATTTTTCAGGTCCTGATCTAAACTAAGCTTTTTTGTCATCCATGCAAAAAGCTTCCAACATTTTTATTATAATTTTTTGAATACGGCAGAAAAGAAGGTGGTGTGAAAAAAAATACAATGCGTAGGTTTTCGGCTTCGGAAAAATTACTTCGATACGTTGTCGTATATAAATATGCTACTGTAATGTATTTGAATGGTTTTCACAATCTCATTAGAGCTTCTAAAATTCAGATAACTGGCAATAGGAAAATTGAAATGTAAAATATCATTTGGCAACTACTGTATTAACTCTCAACAGATGGAGGGCTAGAGAGAGATACGCCATTCAGGATTTTGTTCTATTATAAATGCTTAAAAATAATGACTAAATTTTTTAATTTCCCAATAATTCACGGGGTAGTGATTATCAAGAAGCCATGGCTGTCTTATTAATGTGAAGTATTGATTAATTACTTTTGAATAATTAATCGAGATTTTGAATCAAATGTTTTTCAACTTTTTTCCATTTTTTTAGTGTCTTATTGGCAACATTGCAAACTTCTTTTGGATAACTGATGATGCTTTGGACAAGTTATTGTATATTTGTACATGTATATATGTATATATATGTACACTGTATATGTATCATGGATTGA